TTGTGGAGTGAAAAAAATTCCCACTGTTGGGGATTTTGATGTAATATAATAATTATAATGATTACTAGAAGCCCAGTGCACAAATTCATGCATGGCTGGGAACCTTGGCCTGGCTGGCAATCGGGGCTGATTAGGGCCGCAAGAGGTTGGGGGGCAGGGGGAGGCTGCGGGAAGTTGGCTGTGGGAGCGCACTGACCACCATGGGGCAGCTCTGCGTTAAGCATCTGTCCCCTGGTGGTCAGTGCGCATCATAGTGACCAGTTGACCGGTTGTTCGGTCGTTCAGTAGCTTAGGTTTTTATACATATAGATGATATTGGTAGCTATCAGTTATTGAATTCCTTTATATTAGACATTTTATTATCTCATTTCCTCCTCAAAAATCACCTGTCAGGAAGGTCTTTTTATCACCATTTTATAGAGAAAAAGCTGAGGCTAGAGAAGCAAAGTAACTATGCTTTCAGCTACCAGTTACAGAATAGCAGCTGTAGTGGCTGAAGCAGTAAGGTCTTCTTATTACCTCAATGACCACAAGGAAGTAGGGGGTGCTTCCGGGTTGGTTTGGCAGCTCAGTAGTGCCATCAAGAAGCCAGTCTCTTTCCGCGTTTCTGCTTCAGCATCAGCAGCTATGGGTGCTGTTTCCTTCCCTCGGTGCAGCAACATAAAGTATCTGATTCCCACAAACTGAATGAAAAGCGGGAAGAAGGGACAAGCCGGCAGCCTTCTTGTGTGTTTGTGTGCGTGTGTGCACATTTATTTTATCAGGAAGGAAATATTTCCCCAAGATCCTCAACCAATTTCCCCTTATATCTCATCAGCCAGGAGGAAATTATTTGGTCTGACCAGGCTGAGTTAATCTGTGAGCATATTGCCTCCACCTCCCAATTGCTGACTAAAATTGCATATTTTTAGCAAGAAGAAAGTGGGGATGGTGTTGAGTGGGCAACAATGTCTGCTAATTCCCTCAACATTCCATGGTAGATGGTTCTCTTCTCACAATACAATGCTATCTTCCAAGACCTTTGTCTTCTATGTCTTTTAAAAGTAAGAAATCAGAGGAAATGCTGCAGTAATTCTTGCTGCTGTCTTGCAAATGAGAGACAGGGCAGGATGGTGCGGCTGGATCAGTGAGGCCCCTTCATAATGATGAGGAAGGCAGGTTGAAGAACTAGGAGATGTGGACTCTAGCCCCAGGTTTGCTACTTTCTATCTGTTACCTTGGGTAAATTACTTAATCTTTCTGAACCTTAAGCTCTGATCTGTAAAGCAAGAAGGTTGAACTAGGTGATCTCTAAAGTTTTGTTCAGCTCTAATATTTTACTAGTAAAATGCAATTTTTATTGAGCAGCTATGAGCAATGCTCTACAGTTTATCATTATACACTGGGGCCTTGACTTACAAGTGTCCCAACTAACAAGTTTTTCGAGATACAAGCCGTCTCTCGGCCGATTTTTTGCTTTGAGTTGCGAGCTAAAATTCGGGTTATGAGCCAGCTTCAGATACCCCACCGCTAGTTGAAGCGAACGGCACAGTGAACGCCACAACATCAGCCCAGCATCACGTGTCTCACTTGTTCACTTCATGATTTGACTTACGAGTAATTTGAGTTACGAGCTCTGTCACGGAATGAATTAAACTCGTAAGTCAAGGCCCCACTGTATTTTTAAAAACACTATTCAAGATGCATCTGCATGCCATATGTATGTGTGAAATCAACATTATTCTTATATATGAAGCTTAGGATATCATATAACAGCCCAGTGACCACTATGGGAGAACGACCAGAATGACCGGAATTGACTGGTGGCTATGACACACGCCGCGGCAGCCAACCAGCCTGATCTGGGCTGATGGGCCCCTCCCACCCGCAGGTCCCACCCCCAATTGCCCCCCCCCCTTGCTGGTCTGGGACACAGGGAGCACATGACTGAGCTGTCCACACCCCTTCTGAGGGGAGACACCCACCAGGTATACAGAAGGTATACAGAAGGCACTCAGCAAGGAGTCCCCACGGGTGATGTTCGCACCTTCATGCTGTTCCCCCACACACTACCACCACAATGCCGAGGAAGCCTGATTCAGGAACCCCGAGCTGACCACACAGAGAAACAGCGTGTATAAACATCATGTCCCCCAGACGCCTGAATCTGCCTCAAGAGGAAGATGCTACAGACCCTGAGCGGGAAGATCTGGACTGAGACAGAAGGTCTGGGAAAAGCAGGGCTGTGGATGGCCGTGTTCTGCATTTGCTGCCCGACCCTGCTCCCTGGCCCCCTCTGTGTGCGAAACACCTGCATCACCGCCCTGGAATGGAGGCCTGTGAGTGAATGAAGAGCTGTGGCTGTGCCTGTGCCTGTGCCTGTGCCTGTGGTGGCGCTCGGCCTCCTGCCCTCGTGGAAACATATTTACATGCCAGAATCTAAAACCCTCTTTATCGGTAACAGCACAAATAATGCAAGACCCACACGTGTTTCTAAACAGGACTCTGCCTGGCTGTGTGTGAACCCAGATCGAAGGCGTGCTCTCTGCCGAGGAGGCTGCAAAGTCTATTCCTCGCTCGAACGCACACAACCTGGAGAGGTTTAACGGAAAAAGGAGATTAAAAAAAAAAAAAAAAAAAAAAGCAACAAGCTCTGAAGCTGCTGCCAATGCCGTCAAATCCTCCGCGGTGGTGATGTCAGAGCCCATCTCCCCACGCCTGGGGCTCAGACAGCTGAGCTGTTGACACCTGCCAGGTCGCCTGGCCTCATCTACGTGGCCACTTTCAACCTCCCGCCCGCTCCTGGAGGCGGGTGGGCTTGCGATGGAGGCTTCAGTGTTAAAGTAACCCTGTTGGTGTAGCACAGGCACGCGTGGGCTTTTTGATGAGAGAGAACCCATAACATCCCTGTACGAACGTGTTTTTAACTGTTCTGAGATCCCCCTCCCAGCCTCGGTGACTCTCAAATAGGCCTCAGCGATTCCACTCGCCCGATGGAAAGACTGACCCGGGTTTCAAAGAAACCAAACCCTCGCCCCAAGCAGCCTCCTCCTTTCAAAAGGAAGGTCACCCTGGCTGCAGGTCCTTGCTCTTCCTTACTTTGAATATTTCTTGCCACGCCCTTCTCTACCCAGCAAAGTTCATTTAGCATTGAAGGCCAGCTAAAGAGCTTCACAGACAAGGAAAAGCTAAAGGAGTTCATCATCCTGATGGGGGCGGGGCCCACAGCCCTTCCCCTGGCCAGCCCAGCCCTAGCCTCCAGATCAGGCAGCCGGCTGGACCCCACCCGTGCATGAATTTGTGTACCGGGCCTCTAGTAGAATATAATATTGCAAACTTTTAAAATATCTTTATTTTGCATTACAATTGTACTTAGAATTATTATCACTTTAAGTGACTTGTGTTTTACATCTACAGCACAGTTTATCTTCCAGAGCTTTCCTGCTATTTCCAGTTTTCATTTTATTAGAGATGCCACCTCCACATAACTGAATGAGGAACATGAAAAAGCTGGGGGAGATTTCTGTGCCTGTCTCTTTTTGCTCTCTCTTCCTCTGAACAGAAATAATATCTTGGCAGCATATCTCTTTGTCTGTTTAAAAAAAAAAAGGCAGGAAAAGGAAACAGCAGTGGCTGGTCTGCTTTCTGAAACAGTTTAAGAAAGATCTGGAGGATGTTTGCTTTGCACTGAAGCAGCTTCAACTTCTGCTTTTACAGTATTTGGAGGAACTTTCCGGAGACTAAGGGGGGAGCAACAGCGGCCAGAGACTGCCTCCTGCAAACGTGAGATGAGTGCCAGCCGAGCCTCAAAACAGAGCTGCTGCGAGTGAGCTGTGCTGTTTTCCTTCCACAGTTGTTTCCATATGCAGAGTAGGTTCTCTGCGGCAGCTGCCATGCAATCAACCACATCTTCGGAACGAGATAGTGTATTTTTAGTTGACAGGAAAATAAAAACTTGATTAGGAAGGAGGTTGGAAGGTCACTTAGTAGTTAGAAGCGGAAATCAGTACTTTTCTACATTTTCCAGAAGAGTTACTGTCTTTGTGGGCAGCAATGAGCAAAGTGGTTACTTCAATGCTCTCTCTCTCTTTTTTAAATCCTTACCCGAGGATATGTTTATTGATTTTTTTAGAATATATTTTTATTGTTTTCAGAGAGGAAGGGAGAGAGAGAGCTAGAAACATCAATGATGAGAGATAACCATTGATCGACTGCCTCCTTCATCGACTGGGAATTAAACCGTGACCTCCTGGTTCATATGTCAGTGCTCAATAATTGAGCCACACCAGCTGGACAGTTTAGAGGGAGAAAGAGAGAAACATCGATGTGAGAGAGAAATATTGATTGGTTGCCTCCCATACAAACTCTGACCAGGGACTGAGCCCACAACCTAGGTACGTATGCCCTGACCAGAAATTGAACCTGAAACCTCTTTGGTGTACAGAATGGTGCTCCAACCAACTGAGCCGCCTGGCTGGGCACATGGTGAACTCTTTAAGCAAAACTAAGTGGCTTCTGTGCCTAAGTCCACATTTATCACTTCAGTGAGAAGGAAAGACTGGTCTGGAGCTTATGGGCCCAAAAGAAGAATGGACAAGACCAGAACATATGCTCCAGTTGTTGGAGCCGAGCTGATCTGAGCCCTGTGCAGGAGACCTTGCTAAGACAGAGGATGATGCAGCCTCCTCTGGACCAATCTTCCCTGGCTGCATGGGGAGTGATAAGAAGGGAAAACAATGGGTACTCAGAGGGAAGGCAGAGCATTCCTCCAAAGAATGAGTGTTTACTTAATATAGGATTATTCATGTATGTTCAGCCACTAGAAAACATAGCTCAAGTAGTGTTCTTTACTGTGGTACATACCCATGCTTGGGGAAAATGTGGAGGCTGGGGAGATGAGAAGGAGGGGAGCAATCTGGAGTGTAAAGAAATCTTAGATTTCCATTGGTACTCCCTCTTTTCCTAAAAATATTGACATTCAATCACTGGATTAAATTCATGTTCCCATATCAATTACCTCACTCATTAGGTGGGAATAACAAGTTTACATACCACTGTGTGGGCTTATCCTCCTGAACCTCCCACCATGGGGCCAGACGTATGGATGCATGGAACAGAATAACAGATCCCAGTGTACGGGGTGGAGGAGGGGGGACAGGAAGAGGTTAACCAAAGAATATATATGCATATATGCATAATCCATGGACACAGACAATAGCATGGGGAAGACCTGGGGTATGGCAGGGGTTGTGTGGAGGGGGGCAAAAAGGGAGAAAATGGGAGACATCTGTAATATTGTCAACAACAAAAAAAGAAAAAAAAGGATGATGTAGAGTTTTTTTCACCCTCAAACATTTAAAAACTTTTTTCCCTTTAATTGCTTTCCCCAGTGACTTCAGGTGAGTTATATGTAACATGAATATTTCAGATTTTGTAGTGGTAGAGAAAGAAAGAAGTAGGAATAGGGCCAATGGAAGGGAGGGACATTTAAAAACTATATCAGAATATGAGTTGCCAATGCCCTGCCCCCAATCATTTGGATGTTTTATCCATATTTGAACAGTCCTTGAGATGCCTATTGCATGATTGGGAATCTGCCTTCTAAGCTGGCTCATTAACTTCTGAGTTTTGTTTATTCTTGCTTATGAGGTGCTGAAGTAGTGCTCTTGTGAATGTCCCTCGGCTACATTTTGAAAGTTGGTTACCCAGTAGCAGTGCTATTGGTGAAAGTGAAGTATTTACCAGTGGAAGTGGGTTTTGAAAGTCCCATTTCCCGCTGAAACCGGTTTGGCTCAGTGGATAGAGCGTTGGCCTGAGGACTGAAAGGTCCCAGGTTCGATTCCGGTCAAGGGCATGTACCTGGGTTGTGGGCACATCCCCAGTGGGAGATGTGCAGGAGGCAGCTGATCAATGTCTCTCTCTCACTGATGTTTCTAACTCTCTATCTCTCTCCCTTCCTCTCTGTAAAAAATCAATAAAATATATATATAAAAAAAGAAAGTCCCATTTCCCTTAATTCAGTACTGGAAGAGGTGTAGCTGGGGATTCAGCAGAGCTAGAAGCAAAGGCAGCATCCAAAGTTTCCATCCTATGGTGACCTGGGTCTAGTTTAGCATTAGGCTAGTTACAGTCCATAGTCCATTGTGTGTGGGAGCCTCATGGCTGTGGACCATGTGGGCAAATGCAGGGGAGCCAAGAGCATACAGGCTGCAACAAGAGTCCCAAGAATGCAAGAGGCAAGGAAGCAAGAGAGAGAATTTCTTTGTTTAGGAGATTAAGTATCTCAAATCTTCCCACCCTTGCAGTGGCCACGCCTACTCTGGTCAATGACCTGCTCCCAGGTGTGACTGATAGGCAAGTACCTTCCCTACCTCACCCAGACTTTACTGGGCATGCATCTGTTCTTCCCCTGTCCAGTGCCTTCCCCCAGATCAACTGGGGAATGTCAAAGCTGCACAAATGAATGCCTATATTTTTTGGCCTTTCCTTCACTACTTTCCAGTTATTAATAACTGGGTTATTTAGCCCTACCTGGTTTGGCTCAGTGGATAGAGCTTCGGCCTGCAAACTAAAGGGTCCTGGGTTCAATACTGGCCAAGGGCACATGTCCGAGCTGCGGGCTTGATCCCCAATAGGGGGCATGCAGGAAGCAGCCACTCGATGATTCTCTCTCACCATTAATGTTTCTATCCTTCTCCGTCTCCCTTCCTCTCTGAAATGAATACAAACATATTTTTTTAAAAAAAAACTTGGTTATTTACAACATTATCAGCAGGTTCAGAAATATTGCAATAATTTTAGAATTGGATACAGGAATGTATCTTGAGCTCTGGTCCATGTTCTCAGTGGTTAGAGCATTGGCCCGCAGACCAAAGGCTCACAGGTTTGATTCCTGGTCAAGGGCATGTACCTGGGTTTCAGGTTTATTCCCCAGTCCCCTTTAGGGCAGGAGCAAGAGGAACCAGTCTATGTGTCTATCTCACATCGATGTTTTTCCCTCCCTCTCTTCCACTCTCTCTTGAAATAAAAAAGTACTCGGGAGCATTTGACTTGCTCCCTGGCATATGTCATCAGTTTGGCTCAAATAAACTCATAAAAATTCCCTACAAGCCTGGACATTTTTTGTTGTTGTTAATCCTCACCAGAGGATATTTTTTCCATTAATTAAAAAAAAAATTTTTATTGATTTCAGAGAAAAAGGGAGAGGGAGAGAGAAAGAGAGAAACATCAATGATGAGAGAGAATCATTGATCGCCTGCCTCTTGCATACCCCTTACTGGAGATCAAGCCCGAAACCCAGGCATGTGCCCTGACTGGGAATCGAACTGTGACCTCCTGGTTCTTATGTCGACACTCAACTGCCAGAAGCCCGTCCATCCTTGCTGTTGACACGTCGCTGCAGGGAAGAAACATCTGCACAGCATATGTTTCAAGGGATCTGGCGTATTGCTCCCCTTCTTAGCGCTATGTGTTTTAACCACAA